TTGCACATAGGGCTCTTTCTAGCCCGGGATTCTTCCAGGAGGGACCAGCAGCTGGGACCAGTCTCCCAACATCTCCTACCTTCCACCACATCCTTCTTGTAGTCGCTGTCGTTGTCGCTGTCTGTGGGGCGGTAATAGATGTAAAAGCCGTGGATGGGAGTGTTGTTGTTGCTGGCTGGAATATACTGTGGAGAAGGGGAGAAGGGCAGAAATGAGCAGCCGTGGCCTGCTCTCCTATCCACAGTGCACTGGGTAGGGAGCTGGGCTGGAAAGTGGGTGGCATGGGAGGACAATCCAGCAAGGAGACTTTAGGCTCTGGGCTTCCAGACAAACTACCTTTTGCCAGAGGACTCATGTTGCTGAACAACAGCTCTGTTCCTATCCCACCTTGGGCCGTGCTGTCCCAGGCCATGCAGTTCCTGCTGTCTTTCACCCAGTGTTTTATTGCAGAGGTTGGCAAGAGACCACCCCTCCTCAGCAAAGCTGTTATCAGTTACTGCTTGTGATTAAAGTAACACCAGTGCCCATCCTGCCATACAGCAATTTCTGGCAATAAGAAGGTGAGAGAGAAGAGGGGGATGCATCCCTCTGGATTGGCTCTGAGTGTCTGGAAGTGCTTGAATTTGAGCTTGTGATCCAAGAACTCCTATCCCCTACTAAAAATCCTTTGGATTAGACTGCTGTAAATGATTACCAGCAGCTAGAATCACTACGCAGAAAGTGGTAAGTGAGGGGCATGGCTGCTGGAAACCACTGGGACAGTCAGGGGTACTAGTGAATGTCAAGAATTTGGTCAGCAGAGCAAGCAGTCACCCCGTGCATCAATGCTTGTTGAGTAAAATGATCAAGACCCTGAAGTTACATGGTGAAATGCCTCCTGCATACAATGCTAGGTCCGGACAAAATGTTTCCTGCGTTCTCAGACTTCCCTTGCTCCTTCTTGGATCATGCCCAGAAAGCTATTGGATCACAGTTCCCTCTGCGCTGGTGACAGATTCCAGTTGGGTAACCTTGGGGGTTGTGAACTGCAGCACCCATGGATCTGCACCCTTCCCACCTCTCAAGCCCAAGTCATACCATCCACTTCAGCATGATGGTGGTCTCGTTGATGGCATCTGTGAAGGTAATGTATGGCCCAGCCACGGGGCGCTCATAGACACGGCTGCTGTACCCAGACACCACGTATGGCCGCGATGCCGCACTGGGCTCACTCTCTCCCAGGATGTTCAGTGCCCGGACACGGAACTTATAAGAAGTGCCTAGGGGAGAAATTGGAAATAAGAGTTGCACCAAGACAGTAGTGAGGACTTCAATGACTTCAACGGTCAGCACTGGAGCTACATCTTCTACAGAAGGCAGGGAGAGCCTTCGGAGAGGCTTTGATAGAAACACAGTTATTGAATGGCCAGAATTCAGCCATGTGCTAAACTGAACCTGCTACTATTTCCCTCCCCACATTCCTCTATGGAAAGTGTAGAGGCCATCCAGCAAAATTCTGTTCTGAAAGGTGCGCGAGTGGATTCAGAGAGAGACAAAAAACATCCTGATGCCAAAACAGGTCTGGAAAGGCTTCCTTCCTTCACTATATGGAACTAAGATAGATAAATCTGAGTTAAAAGCTCAGAGTTATTATAAGTTGAGTTTACCCAAACATTGATTTTGTGTTCTTTAAATTTAACTAGATATTTTCCCCTTTTAAGCAGGCCAGCTCAACGATGCCTCTTTCCTGATGTGAATGGGATTTTTGTGCCAATATGCCTTGCCTGCAGCCAGGAAGAGACAGGATCTACAATGTCTCGTAAGTGGCAGACCCAGGACACTCCTATGCCGTTAGTAACTATATCCTGTAATACAGAAAAGCATCTGCAGGTCTCCCTGAGGGAGGTCAAATCGATGCTGGTCCAAGTATCTGAGAAACTGGAGCACTTCCTCTTGCGTTTAAGGCTGGAAGGGAAAGTTCTACTCACACATCCCAGGGCTAAGCAGGATGTGACAGATGGCTAGCCATCCTACGTGGACTGCACAGCTTTCCTGGAACGTATACCTACCTTTCTCCAGGCCTGGTATTTCCACGGAGAGGCGAGAGGGAGGAATGTCACTGGTGGCAAGGACCCAGTCTCCCAACTTCTTCAGTTTCTTATATTCCACACGGAAAGACTGGATGGGGAAACCACCATTCCCACGGGGGATCCAGGTCACATACACAGATGTTTCTGATGCCATGGAGATGGTTGGACGGTCTGGGGCCTCTGGAGCTGCAGAGAAGGACATCAAGACTTGAGACCCATTCATCTTGCCTGGGAGAGCTCAAGAAAGCTTGACTGCTGTGGAAGCAGTGAGTAGGGGGAGACTGACACTAGGGAGAGAAAGGCAACAGTGGGTGAAGGAGAACAGAGGAAACAGCTGAGGAGGAAATAAGGAAAAGTTTTGCGT